CTCTGTGCTCTGGTGTGATCTCCTGGTTTTCCTTTGTTTGATTTCATTTCATTCCCTCCGTTGTCAGCAGATGCTGCCAGGCCAGAGCCTTCTCTCTCCTTCCTTAATCATCTAGTCTTCCTTTACCTCTCCCCTGACCCCCACAAAGCCAGAGTCAATTCTTTCCTCCCCTCCCTTCTACTTTACACTTTAGGTTTCAGCACCATTTGGTGCTAAGTGGTTTTACATTCCTTATTTCTTCTTGTCCAAACAGTCCTGTGAGTTAGGCATGATCATCCCCATTTTGCAGATTAGAAAACTGAGGCTCAGAGAGGTTAAATATCTAACCTGAGATGAAATAGGGAGTAAATGGCAGAACTGCTGGCACTCCCGCAACCATGCCCTTTCCAGTTCTCACCAAGGTAGCATACGATCAGACTTGAGGGGACAGAAGGGAAGAGAGAGAAAACCCATTTCCTCTCACCTCAAGCTCCACCTTAAAATGAGATGAAAGTGAAGCTCCCTTAGTGATCCAGGCAGTCCCTGGACTGCTGGAGGTGCCTAAGGTCTGCATAGGTTGGCTGGGTGTGATGATTCAGCCAGGTAACAAAAGTCCTTTGGTGAAAAAAAAAAAAAAAAAAGTTTGTAGTAATATTGTTTATAACTGGAAAAATAGAAACCACCTGAATGTTCATCAACAAGAAATGGAAAGTGGTAATGTAATCATGAAATGGAATACTATGCAGCAATGAAGATGAATCAGAGTTATACATATCCATGTACATGAATCTTACAAACATTATGTGCACAAAAAAAGTTGTATAAGAGTATTTCTTTTCTTTTTTTCTTTTTTTTTTTTTTTTTTTTTTTGAGACGGGGTCTCGCTCTGTTACCCAGGCTGGAATGCAGTGGTGCGATCTCAGATTTCAGCTCACTGCAGGCTCTGCCTGCCAGGTTCACACCATTCTGCTGCCTCAGCCTCCCGAGTAGCTGGGACTACAGGCACCTGCCACCACACCCAGCTAATTTATGTACTTTTAGTAGAGATGAGGTTTCACCGTGTTAGCCAGGATGGTCTCGATCTCCTGACCTCGTGATCTGCCTGCCTCAGCCTCCCAAAGTGCTGGGATTACAGGTATGAGCCACCACGCCTGGCCAAGAGTATTTCTTATACTACTTATATAAAGATTTGTGAGTCAGGTTTTTTGTTTGTTTGTTTGTTTGTTTGTTTGTATTTGAGACAGGGTCTCACTCTATCACCCAGGCTGGAGTACAGTGGCACAGTCATAGCTCACTGCAGCCTCCAACTTCTGCGCTCAAGTCATTCTCCTGTCTCAGCTTCCCTAGTAGCTGGGACTACAAGTGGGTACCGTCATGCTTGGCTAATTGTTTTTTATTTTTTGTAGAGATGGGAGTCTCACTATGTTGCCCAGACTGGTCTTGAAGTCTTTGTCTCAAGTAATCCTCCCACCTCAGCCTCCCAAAGTGCTAGCATTACAGGCATGCACCACTGCACCCAACCTTATAGAAAGTTTAAAATTATCTAATATATATTGCTTGGGAATCATATGTACTAGTAGAATTACAAATAAATGCAAAAAAATAATAAACATGGAATTTATATAATGGTTACCTCTGGGATGGGAGGTATGAGAGAGTGATCAGAAAGAAGTACATCAGGGTGGCCAGGCGCAGTGGCTCACACCCGTAATCCCAGCACTTTGGGAGGCCGAGGCGGGTGGATCACGAGGTCAGGAGATTGAGACCATCCTGGCTAACAGGGTGAAATCCTGTCTCTACTAAAAATACAAAAAATTAGCTAGGCATGGTGGTGGGCACCTGTAGTCCCAGCTACTCGGGAGGCTGAGGCAGGAGAATGGCATGAACCCGGGAGGTGGAGCTTGCAGTGAGCCGAGATCGCACCACTGCACTCCAGCCTGGGTGACAAAACGAGACTCTGTCTCAAAAAAAAGAAGTAAATCAGGGGCTTCAACTGTCTAGGCAATGTTTTATTTCTTAAGCAAGCTGATGTCCATAGTATTGCTGTTTAAGGCTTTTTCCATATGTGAAATATTTCATAATTATTATTAAGTTAACAAGTAATAACCACCAGGAGTATTCTCATCACATAATATTAAGTGGAAAGAGCAGGAAACAAGATTGGATATCCACTATACTCCCAATTTTGTAAAAACAGAACAAATCAAGGGAAACAAATACAGATTTTTTTTTAAAAGAGCAGCAGATAATAAACCAAAACTGTTAGAAGTCTGAGGATGATTTTTATTGACTTCTTTATACTTAAAGTAATTGATATCTATATCAATCAGTAAGGTCATTGATGAGGTTCTTTCAATTAATCTTATCTTATTTTCCAAAGGTTTTTTTTTTTTTTTTTTTTTTTTGAGACGGAGTCTCGCTCTGTCGCCCAGGCTGGAGTGCAGTGGCTGGATCTCAGCTCACTGCAAGCTCCGCTTCCCGGGTTTACGCCATTCTCCTGCCTCAGCCTCCCGAGTAGCTGGGACTACAGGCGCCCGCCACCTCGCCCGGCTAGTTTTTTGTACTTTTAGTAGAGACGGGGTTTCACCATATTAGCCAGGATGGTCTCGATCTCCTGACCTTGTGATCCGCCCATCTCGGCCTCCCAAAGTGCTGGGATTACAGGCTTGAGCCACCGCGCCTGGCCTTTTTTTTTTTTTTTTTTTTTTTTTTTTTTTTTTGAGACGGAGTCTCGTTCTCTCTCCCAGGCTGGAGTGCAGTGGCGCGATCTCGGCTCACTGCAAGCTCCACCTCCCGGGTTCATGCCATTCTCCTGCCTCAGCCTCCCGAGTAGCTGGGACTATTTTCCAAAGTTTTTATAGTGAGTACTTATTGCTTTTGGAATCAAAATCAAATGTTGCTGTTTTTTTAAACATGTATGTATTCACCATAGACACCAGGGTATGGTAAGTTTTAGCCTGAAATCAAGAAAAAAAAAAATTATGGCCGGGCACAGTGGCTTCCGGGGCTGGAATCCCAGCCCTTTGGGAGGCTGAGGCAGGCGGATCACCTGAGGTCAGGAGTTCAAGATCAGCCTGACCAACATGGCAAAACCCCGTCTCTACTAAAAATACAAAAATTAGCCAGACATGGTGGCGCATGCCTGTAATTCCTACTAATCAGGAGGCTGAGACAGGAGAATTGCTTGAACCCAGGAGGCAGAGATTGCAGTGGGCCAAGATCATGCCACTGCACTTCAGACTGGGTGACAGAGTGAGACTCTGTCTCAAAAAAAAAAAAAATTATTTAAAGTCTACTGCAGGCCACTCTAGTGCTAGACTTTAAAAGGGGACCGTTCACACCAAGCTAGGAGTCAGACAGACCCAAGTTCAAGTCCCAGCTCCACCCCTTCCCAGCAACTGACTTGAGTCTCGATTTTCTTATCTGTAAAATGGTGATTAAAATACTTTCCCTGGTTGCCTCATGAGGCCAATGTGGGGGTAAAATGAGATGAGGGCTACAGAATGGCTTCATGATGCATGGGCGGACTCCTGCAGAGGCTCAGCAGCTACTACAGGACAGACCAGGCAGGAGACATCAAGAGGGCAAGGCTGGGTTCCTTCGGTGCCCACAGTGTAAAAGGACAGACAGTGCTGTCCACGGACAGCCAAGGAGAGGGGGTCAGGATGGCCCCGGCTAGGAATGGTCCACTTGGAAGGAAGTGATGTACATAACTGGGAGGGATAACCTTTGGCCTCAAGCAATGCAAAATGTACTTCTAGAAACTGAGAAAACACTCTCAAAAAATGCACGAACAACATGAAAGGGGGAAAGCAAAGCTCAGACCTGAGTCCTGGCTTCCTGGCTCCCTGGTTAAGTGATGGTGGCTGTGGGAGGTAAACAATCCTCACAGCCCAACTGTCTCACTTGTGTCGGAGGGAGAAGCGTGCACGCCTTCTAGGTCTTGCTAAGAGGCCTGATTGAAGGACAGATTCAGTATCGAGCACCTTCCCTGGATCAGGCCGTGTTCTAGGAGCTGGGGGTGCAGCAGGGAACCCACCAGGCAAGGATGCTGTCCTCAATTGTGGCTCCCTAAGGGAGGTGACGCAGAGCAGTTGCTCATCACGGAGCCTATGTGGTGCAGTCAATAAATGCTTGTGCCAGAGGCAGGCATGGCCACGATGGTTAAGCAGCCTCGTATGGTGGCCTGGGGAGGCTTAGGGGAAGTAATGAAAGTTTTCAGGTGGTTGAAGTGTTATTTGAAAGAATAATGGGCCTGGCGCAGTAACTCACGCCTGTAATCCCAGCACTTTGGGAGGCCAAGGCGGGCGAAACGCTTGAGGTCAGGAGTTGGAGACCAGCCTGGCCAACATGGTGAAACCCCATCTCTACTAAAAATACAAAAATTAGCCAAGCATGGTGGCAGGTACCTGTAATCCAAGTTACTTGGGAGGCTGAGGCAGGAGAATCCCTTGAACCCTGGAGGCGGAGGTTGCAATGAGCCGAGATCGCGCCATTGCACTCCAACCTGGGCAATAAGAGCAAGACTTCATCTCAAAAAAAAAAAAAAAAAAAAGAATAATGTAAGACAGGACTATGCTAGGAATCTTTAAGCTGCCATTCACTGAGTGCCACACATGTAATAACTCAATCCTCACAGCAACCCCATGGGATACTATTATTATGATCTTCATTTAACAAATGAGGAAACAGAGGCACGGGTCAGTGCAGTGACTTGCCTGAAGTTGCATAGCGGTAAAGCCAAGATTGGAAACCAGTCGGTTTGTCCTACTCCATTGTCTCTGCAGCTTGGTGGGTGCCCCAGACAAGCTGGTCTTAAGAACTCAGAGCTTCCTTTGGAAGCCAAAAGCGCTGACACTGAGAGTGTCTGGTCCATGGCAGGGTGACCATCTGTCAAAGCATTCTTATGGGGATTTCCGACCATATCAGATGAATGGATCTTTCTATGGAACAAACAGCACCCAGAGCGTTGGTGGCAATGCTCTGAGATGCTAAGAGTGACTTCTTCTTGTCTCTTTCAGGTCACAGCCCCACACTTCCCGGTGGTGGTCAAGCTGGGACATGCCCACGCTGGAATGGGAAAGGTATGAGAAACAGCCCTTCTACTCACAGTGGACACACCTAGAGATTCCTCAGACTACCTGTTCCTCTCTCCCTCTGTCCCCCGTCAACCCCTTAGCACAGGCACCCAGAACAGAGTGTTAAAAAGAATCCACAGTACATCTCCCTCCCCTCCCAGCCCACCTTCCTCGGAGCTCCTGGTGCACAGAACATCTCTCCAATTCGGTCCATCCTTGCCAAACCCTACCTGGAATTGCTAACTAATCATTCTCTATGATTGCGACTCGAGAAAGGGATGTAGAGCATTTTATTGACTGTAATTCTTTTGTGAGGGGTTGCTGCCATCATCTCCACAGCCTTGTTGTAAGCCCATGTCTTACTTACCTCTGTATTACTGTATTAGTCCATTCTCACACTGCTATAAAGAAATACCTGAAACTGGGTAATTTTAAAGAAAAGAGGTTTACTTGGCTCATGGTTCCACAGGCTGTACAGGAAGCATGGCTGGGGAGGCCTCAGGAAACTTACAATTGTGGCAGAAGGCAAAAGGGAAGCAGGCCCGTCTTACACGGCTGGAGCAGGAGGAAGAGAGAGAAGGGGGAGGTGCTACACATTTTATTTTGTTTTTGAGACAGAGCCTCACTCTGTCACCCAGGCTGGAGTGCAGTAGCTTGATCTCGGCTCACTGCAACCTCCACCTCCCAGGTTAAAGTGATTCTCATGCCTCAGCCTCCCGAGTAGCTGGGACTACAGGTGCGTGCCACCACACCCGGCTAATTTTTGTATTTTTAGTAGAGACTGGGTTTCACCATGTTGGCCAGGTTGGTCTCAAACTCCTGACCTCAAGTGATCCACCTGTCATGGCCTCCCAAAGTGTTGGGATTACAGGTCTGAGCTACCACACCCGGTCACACACTGTTTAAAAGTGCTACACACTTTTGAACAACCAGATCTCATGAGAACTCTGTTACAAGAACAGCAAGGGGAAAATCCGCCCCCATGATCTAATCACCTCCCAACAAGCCCCTCTTCCAACAATGGGGATTATAATTTGACATGAGATTTGCGTGGGGAGCCAAATCCAAACCATATCGATCACTGTAGGACTGACACCTAGAAAATGACAAACACATCTGGCTCCGTGGAAGAAGCCCCCAGAGTCAGTTAACTGCAAAAGTCAATAATATACTATATTTCACACAGTCACATATAACATCCTGACAAACTGTATTGGTCAGACTGTTTCAGTTGCAAGTGCCAAAACGTTCAAGATATTAGGATGTCTGAGATAGTTCTTGGTAGATTCGAGCAGAGCTGGATCCAGGAGTTCAAATGAAATAGAGCCTGATCTCCCTCTTTATCTCTTGGTTCTGTTCATCTCTACTTGGCGTTTTCTTCAGATGGTCTAAATGGCTGTGAGCCACCCAACCTGGTCCCTAAGCTCACCATCTCTAAAGGATAAAGACCCTCTTTTTGTCCAGCACCTCTATATCTAATCCCATGGAACCTTGTTTGGATCAATGTGCTTGGCCTCAACAATGGGATGTGGAGATGGTTTAGGCCCAGTCAAACCATATGCATCAGAGTCCCACAGGAAAGGGGGCACTGGGTCTCCCACAGTTTGCCTCTCAAGCCTCTGGCTCTGAAGCAAGTGGGAACATGTGGATCTCAGTACCTGTCACTCACATTGGAGGGGACTTGAGCCCAGACACAATGCCTAACACAGTGGATCCTAGATAAAGTACAGCTGGAGCTAAACAATGTGGGGCCAAGTAGACACCTTGCTTTGAGTAGGCCCATCCAGACATGAATAATTCTTCATCTCACACCTATAGTCGTCCCCACCCTGTTATGCCTTCTGTATGCCTAAACTCCATTCCCTTCAGGCAGTCTAAAAAGGAATGGGTCAGCCGGGCATGGTGGCTCACACCTGTAATCCCAGAACTTCGGGAGGCCAAAGAGGGCGGATCACCTGATGTCAGGAGTTAGAGACCAGCCTGACCAACATGCAAAAACCCTGTCTCTACTAAAAATGCAAAAATTAGCCAGGCATGGTGGCACATGCCTGTAATCCCAGCTACTCAGGAAGCTGCAGCAGGAGAATCTCTCGAACCCGGGAGGCGGAGGTTGCGGTGAGCCGAGATCATGCCATTCATTGCACTCCAGCCTGGGCAACAAGAGTGAAACTCCATCTCAAAAAAAAAAAAAAAAAAAAAAGAAAGAAAAAAAAAAGGGGGGGAATGGATCCAGCAGGTCAGGGCATGGCCCACAGCTTGGACATCTGCATAAACTTGAGCGAGTTACCATCTAACTTCTCCTGTTTCCCTCATCAGTCAAACGATAATTCTAATAACTACCTTTTAAAAAGAGTCCTCCCTTCAGAATATATCTCTCTAGAAAGTACACAACTTGAGGGCAGGAAGTTCTGCCTGTTTTTCCACTGCTGTATCCCAGGGCCCTGAGTGGCACCCGGTACACAGGAGCCCCCGTGTCCTACTTCTTGCTTGGGTGGATGAATGAATGAACCTCTCTTTAGCCATCATGCTATGTCTGCCCCCCAATTCCCTCGCCTCCCACTCCCTCTTCCACCCCTGCATATGGCTCCAGCCCCCTTCACTCCACTAAAGCTGTCCTCTCAGTGGTCTCCAGTGATCCTCTGTTGCTAATTCAGTGGGCACTTTTCTGTCCTTATTGGAATCCCCCTCTCTCTATCATTTAACATGGCTGGCCATCCTTCTGTCCCAAACTCTCTTTATAGTGGCCTCTGGCGCTTGCTCCTTTTCTGGCTTTCCTCCTTTCTGTCTCTGGCCACTCCTTCTTCATCTCCTTCAAGAACTTTACTTCTTGCATCATGCGTAACCATGGCTATTCCATCTGCACACCATCCCTGAGTGCTCTTGTCAACTACCTCAGCTTCAGCTGCCATCTGCATGCCAACAGACTCCTGAGCTGCCTTTTGCCTTCCCAGAGCATCAGGCTCTTATATCCAGTTATCTCCCCTACGTCTCTATTTTGTCTCCCATGGAAACCTCAGACTCTAAACATTCCAGACCAGGCTCAGCATCTTCCCAGACACCCTCACCTCCCTCCTTCTCCTCCTCTTCCTCCTCTTCTTCCTCCTGTGACCTCCATCTCTGCAGCAGGAACCACCAGTTATTCAGTTGCCTCAAAACAGAAATCTGGGAGTCATCTCCCCCTCCTCCATGTCCAGATGGTCTCCAAGTCTTGTCAATTGCCCCTTGTTAATGTTTCTCTGACCTGTATCTTTCTCTCCACCCACTGCCACCATCTTGGACAGCTCTGGCAAAGTCAAAGCATTCCCAAGAATTCAACTCTGTGCCTAAAGCTTAAAATAATCCCCAAATGACATAAAAAGAAGGAAATACTTAAAGAGATGAGAAACTCAGGTCCAGAAGGGCCTCCCAAAACATGGAAAGGAGGGGGCACTCCAAGGATTAAAAAAAAAAAAAATGACACAGACCAGAATAAACTGAGGTTTGCAAAAATGCTGAGATCAAGGGAAGAGGACTTTTCTCCTTATGTTTGGAATGAGAAAACTTGCAGGAGCAGTCTAGACCAAGTTGACGAAGCAAATGATGTCATGTTCATAGCTGAGAGAGAGAAAAACAAAGCTGGTACCTCCTGTGGTGCATTTACCATCTCTTGAGAGTGAAGATTGTCCTCCTGGAGACAAGCAAAGAGAACATTCCTAGAAGAAAGCTGGTAAGGAGGCTGTCAATGAGCTCAGTGTTGCTTGAAATCTACCCAGGCCCCCATGGATGGAATTGCTGGCCTATCCCAAACTATACTTCACTCCCTTGTTCTTTTACACTTGTGGTGCCTACTCTATGCTGAGAATCAGAAAATCAATAGGACCCAGTCCCTGTCCTCAAGGAATTGGAGAGATAGTCGCATAAATATGCATCATGTGTTGTTGGGGCCTGGTAGAAGGCTGTGCAGAGGGTATGAGGCTTAGAGGAAAGAACTTAATTCCACCTAGATGGAAAAGGCATCCTAGGAGAATTGAGGTTTGATTTAGAAAGACAAGTGCATGGCCTTCATTGGTGCTGGTGATTAAGAGCATGCCCAGGAAAGGACAAAACTCAACTAGGAAGAGGAAACCTGGCATCAGGGAAACTGCATGCGGTTGGGTGTGCCTGGAGATTTAAGAAATCCTAACAAACAAAAAAGACTAGAAGACAAGAGATGGAACAATTACCCCCTTGTATTAAAATAAAAAAAAATAGTGGACATCATGAGAAACAGAAATCAAAATATAGTGAAACTCTCATGCCATTTTGGGAGTGCTTAGACAGTGGTCCATATTCATGGGGCTACCATAAGTTCCTTAGAAGTCAGTCAGGTTAGACAAGTGGTTGAGAGGAAAATGATCTGCCCCCGGGCAGGAGGCATTTGGACGTGTCTGGAGGAAATTTTATTTGTTATAACTTGGGGACGGTGAGGGTGTAGTACTGATATCTACCAGGTAGAAGCCAGGGGTGCTGTAAACATTCACAGTACATAAGACAGCTTCCCACGACAAAGAATGGTACTGCCCCAAAATGTCAATACAGTCGATCCCACTTATCTGCTGGCGATACATTCCAAGACCTCCAGTGGATTCCTGAAACCACAGATAGTTCTGAATATCGTTTATTCCTCTACATGCCTATGACAAAGTTTAATTTATAAATTAGGCACAGTGCTCTTGAACTTTGGGGCCACTATGAAGTAAAATAACAGTTACTTGAACATTCTATGACAATGTATCCGGTAACTGAGATGGCTCCTACGTGGCTAACGGGTGGGTGGCATATACAGCACAGACGTGCTGGACACAGCGATGATTCATGTCCCAGGCAGAATGGAGCTGGATGGTACAAGATTTCATCACGCTACTCAGGATGGTGCGCACTTTAAAACGTCGGAATTCTTTATTTCTGGAATGTTCCATTTAATGTATTTGGACCGCAGTTGACCGTGGGTAACCGAAACCACAGATAAGAAGGGACGACTGGAGTAT